TTGTTTTTTAAATGATTTTTTAGATGTCTCACAAGTCTACGTTTTGCTCATTACATTAGTCGTTTTATCATGCTGCACGGCTTATTTTCTCACATTCCACCTATTTGTCATGGCTTCTTAAGGTGTGGTATGAGAGATCCTAGGAAAACATGTCTCACAATTTAGTTGGTGGGCCCTTACATCCACACCATATCAATCATCTGCATGACGCATGGTTTTCGCATTTGCACATAACAAATGGTCAGTTTTCCACTTGCCACTTGCCACAAAATGGTCAGTTTTCCACTTGCCACAAGTTTTTGCTACCATACCAATGTCAGGTGCTTTGCTGATGATGGGGCCATTTTGCGACCGTGTGGAGTTAATTACGTTCATTTCCATTGTGTGGTATTTTTAACCACCATGACCGCGAAGGTCGGCATGTTTCACATTTGATTACAAGTTGGGTGTGAATGATGCTCCTAGAAGTGAATGTTTGTGATTGGTACAAGAAAATTTTGGTACATTGTTACAGCACCAGCGTAAGCACTTAGCCAGACGTGTCTTAATGGAAGTTTGAATATGTGCGTTACTAAACTGCGTACTATTCCGCCGGCATATAACCTTTTAGCAACACAACCTTGCAACGAAGTAAGCACACAAGTGAGCAATGCCTGCCAGAGCCTTCGAAAAGAGTCACTGTGATTAAGCTCATGGGAAAAACCAATGCCAAAATGCAAGGTTTCGCAGCATTCGCGTGCTAATGACTGCATTTATGCATGCATTTTTCGCTACATGGAGGGTTTAAACTGTCAGAGGTTGTGATGTGCATTTGCAAGGACCAATATGGATAGACAGAAAGTGGGAAAAGCCTTGTTCCTTGTAGACACACCAAGAGAATGGAGAGATAGATGGGTTGATATTTCGGCAGCATGCCTTTATGGAAACGAGTTTCAGTAGTAAGTTCAACGCCGCCTGCCAATCCCGTTCGATTTTCAGTTGTTTCGTTTACGGCGAACCACAGTTTAAACAGGTTACCAACATTCGGGATTATACAAGGAGTAATTGTCAGCCATTACTGCGATACAGTGCATACGTAACAAGAGTTAGAATACGCGAAAAATGCGTATGCATGCAAACGAATTCAAGTGAACAGTCATCACGCATCACGTTTCAAGCAAACAAGCGATTTCAAATGAACAGGCATTATGCACCACGCGTCAATTATGCATGCAAACGATTTCAATTAAAAAGGCATCGCACATCACGCGCCGGGCTTCTCTCATACATGAAACCGATTTTAAGCTAGCTTGCATTCGCATAATCGGACATGATGAGCTCTTGACGTGAACGTCTGGTCCCCAACTTTTTATAAGAATAGATTCACTTATTTTCGTGTGTGGATGGTCCTGTGCTCTGTAGACGACTTTGAGCTCTAAAAGGGGCACAGGCATAAAGGAGCCATACCTCCCTGGCTTTCAGCCTAAGCGTGCTTTGCCAAAAAAAGGTGACTGGAAGGGATATTCTCTGTTTTATTTTTAATGTCTGGCTGATGTTCATAATCCCTCAAACGAATAGGGTACAGGGATTCCCCCACATAGACCATGTCCCTTCCTTGTTTTTCACACAGTTTACACTTGCTTCGTAGACCACTTTTTGCGTGTAAGCCCCTTGAAACCGAGACTTGCATAAATGAGAGTTTTTGCCCCCGGGCCCATAAACTTCGAGATCGAGGAGCGGTAATAAGCTAAAAAAGTATCTGGTAAAATCTTCTACCTCGAACCCTGCAAGCGGCAATACGTGTCATTAATGAAAGTCTGGGTTCAGGGGGTTTGCACACAAAAACGTGGTCTACGAAATTAAGTGCAAACTGTGTGAAAACATGGGAGAAACATAGTCTGGGGCGGAGAGTCCATGCGTCCCGTTGATTTTAGTCATTTAAGAACTACGAGACGCTAAAAAAAACAGGGAGTACCCCATTCGGTGAACATTTTTTGGCAAAGCACGCTCAGGCTGTAATCTAGGGAGGCATGAGCCCCATGCCCTTTGTAGACCAAAAAGTCATCTACAGAGCATAAAACCATCCAGACAAGAGAATAAGTGAATCTGTTCTGATAAAAAGATGCCGACCGGACGTCAACGCAAAGGGGTCATCGTGGCCGATAATGCGAATGTGATAAGTGCCTTGATATGTGATGTATGCTGGCTTAAATTGTTTACATGTATGGATGCTGCTTGACGCAGGATGCGCGATGCCTGTTCACTTAAATTCTCCTGCATGTACGCGTATTTTTGACACGTTGTTAATCTTATATATGCGATGCATCGCAGTAATGGTTGGCTTTTACTCCTTGTTGAATCCCCTGAGTGTTGATGACCTCTATAACCTGCAGATCGCGGTTAACAAAAGCTGAAAAAATCGAGTAGGATCAGCAGACATTTATGAACTCACTGCGGACGTTCGTTTCAGTAAAGGCATGTTGCCGAAAAATCAACTAATTTGTTTCTCCACTCCCTTGTTTTTTTCTACGAGGAATTCGCTATTGCTACTGATTTATCTAAATAGTTTTAAGCTCTTGTTACATGTATTACACAGAACGTTTGACCAATCTGTGTGTTGAAGACGTCACATCAGATCCATGTTGGATTAAGTTAACAAATGGGAAGCATTGATTTCAGGGTGATAAACAGGAGGTTCAATGCAATGCCTTTCGTCAAATCGAAATTTTTGCTATTCAGAAGGGTTTCGGGAAAACCAGCATCACTGACCAAATTGAACGCGTGTGACCTAGCTATGAGTGAAAAGCGGAAAAAGGTGGTATGCCCCCTTTACCCAATTGTTATTTCAATGCTGTTAAACTGTCAAAGTTGTATGTATCAAAATACTTGCACGTGATGCGTAGCGTTTTTTTGTGGGTGGAAGGGGGAGGGGCTGGCCAATATACATTGTTGCCCTCATGTCCTTGTGTAACGTAAAACATCGCTCCGCTGCCCTCCCTCTCCCCTGCTCTATTTCCGCCGGTACTGGAGCTGGAACATATCTGTTGAAAGGGATTGGGCCCCCGATCACGTGACAGGGGAAGGGAGGGGATAGCAACCCTACTTCCCGAACCGGCTAATGCAAATCAGGCGCAATGGTCCTGAAGACTGGGCCAATCGTCTGCGATCGATGGATTACCCTAGGCCGTTAGCGGGGAAGGGCGGCGAGTGTAGACGGTCATAGAGGCTCGGACGGCGTCCCAGTGCATTGGCGGAGCGCCCGTACCATCCGAACAGAAGCGCTCGTACCATCGCTATCGTACGGGCCTCTTTCCAAAGCACCTGATTGCAGTGGGATGCTTTTGAAGGAGATGGGTGCATCAACGCAGTGAGAACAGTGTCAGAGCCATCCATCAGAAACATGCCACAATGTCACGAAGGCATATGTTTCATTTCCATGCGCAAAATTAAGATTTTTAGTGTGAATCGGTGGCAGTGAAAGCAGTGTCAGAGCCATCCATCAGAAATATGTCACAATCTCACCAAGGCATGTAGTTCATTTCCATGGGCAAAATTATGATTTTTAGTGCGACTCGGCGACTTATCCACGCAGGGCAGACGGAGGCGTTGGGCGATGAGCGATGCTGGGCCTGGCTTCAATTCAGTGAGATAAGAGCTCCCCACTAATGACCTGTCCAACTATTCTTCAACGTTTTTGCTTCCAACAGTCTGAACAATGTCCCGATCAATCTTCTGGAGCGCTCTTTCCGAGGTCCACCCGCCTCGCGGCCGCGGGGACTCGCTGGTGCGCAGATGGTACCCGTTTGAGGATTGGGCTTCGCCGTGGGGAGTCACTTCGCCGTTCCAGAGAAGTGAGCAGCGCACGTAGGCCAAATTGATTGGCCAGTGATGTTAAATTGAGAAAAAATGAGGTAATCATAATCGTGCTGGCATTTTTTCAGCCTCATCCGAAGCATTCCCAGGGTTTTCAATCGCGATGACGGGTTAGTATAGCCAGCGAGTATAGGTGCATCATACACTCGATCACAACAAAAGAACTGTCCTTCATTCACCGTCCGCACATGGCATATAAAACCTGCTTACTGTAATGCGTGGTCGAAAGCATGAAATGACAGCACGAGCTGAGTTTCATGGTGGTTTAATTTTCAGGGACAAAACTGGTTATCAGTTGGACTGCAACAAGCATTTAGTGATGGGTTTCAGAGCGGCAGAAGCGGCAGATGAGCCAACCGCAATCCTTCTCTGTGGCGGTGCCGTTGGCACCAATTGTAACAGCGCATCGCGGTGTACTTTTGCGATCCGCTGGCCACAAAATCATTTGTGTTCCGGTTGCCCCTTTAAATCGTTGCTTGCCAACCTGATGTGGGCCTGAGAACCTCGCCGCCGCGCATGCTGTTGAAAAAAATGGCGCGGCATTGGTGAGAGAGATGGCTCATCCCTTGAGCGGTGGCATTCTAGCGTTGTCCGAGAGGAAGTCAACCATTTTAATGTTATCTGCTGACGTGCTGCGCATATGAGGCTAAAGTGAGATGACTCGCTCAGCGATTTGTTTTCCCGACCGGATATAGAGAACGTCTGGCGCTCCGCTCTACTACCGTCGCTCTTCTATCATCGCCACTCTCTTCTAGTTTTCATTATTTTCGCCAACGCGTCAGCGTTAATAACGTACTATGCATGCATATCACCGCGATTTGTTTTCTCTCGAACTGACAGGCAGTTGCTCGGCTTTTATCAGGCTGGGGTGGTTTTCTTCAATGTCTGGCAAAGTTGCCGGCCATTTTTCCAGCGGACCAGTTCGATCTCATATCCATGTGTGCATGACAAGTCCTGACGTTTCATAGTTACCTGTGGGTGTCCCTGTGTCTGGCGGGCACCAATGTTCACATGTGTCCGCTGTCTTCCTGACGCCGCACCGCTGTCTTGGTGCTGATCGTGGCCCGCCACGTCCGGTGATGTCCGGCCCCATCCGTGGCCCTCCCAGAGCGTGGTCCGGCGCCTGAGCCCGCGGCTCTGCCCCGCAGGCGTACCGGCTGGGCATGTACGGCGACGACTACGCCTGGCTGCTGTACGGTGGCGTGGCGGAGCGCTGGTGGCGCCGGCCGGCCGACAGCGGCTGCCGACCGCACCAGCTGCGCGCCGCCACTGCCGGCCTCCTGCTGGTGGACAGCTTCAGCGAGACGCGCGCTGGCGCCCGGCCCGTCTCCGGTCTGGTGAGAGCTGATGTGGAGTCGAGAGAGGCTGGCACTGATGGCGCCTGGCCGATCTCTGACCTGGTGAGAGCCGACGTGGAGCTGGGAGCGGCTGGCACCGCTGGTGCATGGCACGTCTCTGGCCCGGTGAGAGCCGACGTGAAGCCGAGAGCTGCTGGCACTGCTGGCGCCCGGTCCGTTTCCGGCCTGGTGGGAGCCGACGTGGAGCGGAGAGCGGCTGGCACCGCTGGCGCATAGCACGTCCGAGCGCCACAGGCCTGTGGCCCCATCATGTCCGAGTGCCCTGAATTTGGGATGTACGCGTTTGTCATAACACGCGCCCGGGTGGCCGACTGAATGCCCTTCGCCCGAGTTGGCGTGGAGGGTCCTTTAATGCCCTGATATCTCGAAAACTAAGCGCCAGAAACACCAAATTAATGGCTTGGATCGACCTGTACTTGAACTCACTCGCGTCAAAGTTGAGGTTCCTAGGTTGTGACCTTGGTGTCAAATAAGGTCAAACAAGGCCAAATTCCAGATTGGTGTCTCAAGTTCCCCCGGAACCCCTTATGTAACGGCATTGCAACTGGATACCTGTGCTAAGCAAAAGGTCAACGAGGTCAGTGATATTTTCGACCTCCATAAGCTTACGGTGACCAAATACCCACGAGATTGCTCCTTTTCTGCCATTCGAATAAGCATAAGGGATTGCGCTAGGAAGTATGCTTCCAAAAACACAGTGTTGACCTGGGTCATTTTAGACCATTTACCTACTCTGACCTGTAAAAAATGGACCACATGTTTGCCGCGGTCCCTCTCATTAATAAATTCGAAGTGGGCACCAGAAACTACCCCATAAGACCAAGCTGTCAAATAAAAAAGCAGGCTAGATTTGATCATGTTCTGACCTTCTGACCTTCAGCCCCACGCCAGTGAGATTGAAGGTAATTCAAAATTGAATTGCTTTACTGCCTAAGAAACTACCTCAGATACGTATGGCTTTGCCTAGCACTCCGTCGTTGCATCACATTCAATGATTTTTTAGAAATGCCCTTCGCTGACGCACATGGCCAAGTCAGCGACCTGACAAACTGCATGTAATTTCTTACGGCAAAAGATCACCTGTTCAATTTTCTTCAGCCATGCAAAGTTTAGCGCTGCCAAGCCATGCCATTTGGAAATAAGGGTGGAAAAACCTTCGAGGGGGGTCAATTTGACTCTCCCCCTTGAGTGCGTGATAATGTCAACTGTAAAACGCTTAGATCCGGTGAGGTGTATGCCTTTTTCTTAACACGCGCTCGGGTGGGGGGTAAATTGACCCCCCAAAAGTTTTCCGGAATGGTTCCCAAAGAACGCAGCGTACCTGCGCCAAATTGTGCATAGCTGTAGACAACTGAATAGCGGATCATTTGGTGTAACAAATTAGACGTCCCTTGTAAGGTTGTTGACCTATGGCTGGTCAAAGTCAGGCCACGTTTTCAGCGAAGTCAATTTCTAGGGAATCGTTCAGCCTGATGCAACAACGGAGTGTTAGACGAAGCCATACATCTCTAAGATACTTGATTGGGCAACATAAATATTGAGTGAACAAATTACATCGACCTAAGGCCAGGTATGAAGGTCAGGCCGAAGTCAAAATCAGCCTGTTGTATTACTCTGGGGCTTGCTGTATGCGATAGTTTCTGGTGCTCATTTCGAATTTATTGGTAACAGGAACCGCATTACACATCTTTCGTGGATTATGGCTTCCGTGGGAATTTGGCCACCATGACCTTCAAAAGGTCAAACAAGGTCATGTCCTTAAATGAGCATGCGACCTTTTGCTTAGAAACAGTTATCTAGGTTGTGGGGGCACTTTGAAGACCGACCGGAAATTTAACCTTGTTTGGCCCCATTTGACCCGAAGGTCATGACCTAGGAACTTCAAACTTTGACCAAAGTGAGTTTACGTACAGGTCAGCACCCCGTAAATTTGGTGTCTCTAGCTTTCTTAGTTCCGAGATCCCACGGAGGTGCAAACTGCCCCCCCCCCCCCCCCGCCTCCACCGGAGTGAAGGTTATCCAGCCGGCCACCCGGGCCCGTGCTAATATGGACTAGAAAGCGATAATATTCGTGTATTGCACTTTTAAAACAGGGGCGCCACACTCAGTGAATCTCAGGCAAAGCTTCAGCACGTAGCGCGTCATCGAGATCATGTGGAGCCAGCTTTGGGAAGATAAAGCGAACTCTAAACGCCTCACCACAACGCTACCTCATACTTAAGGGTGCTATTGCAGTGGCAAAATCCCGCGTCATTTCGCAACTGACACATCTGATGACAACCAACCAGGTTGATAAAACTGATTAAGACAGGGTTCACCAGGAAATTTCTATGACGAGGACGTCTTCCCAAGGTAGCCAAGGCGACGCTTTTCCAAATCATATAAGAAGGGGACTTAAGAGCGCAAATATTGTCACTGATATATCGAGCTTAGCAGGGCTGCATGGATGAGTAAAATAGGAAGCGCCAGGGAGGCACCTTTCGCCAAAATATTGGCTGCTAGAATCCACCCATACGGCTAGAAGATACACTTAAGTTCATCTACAGCTATGCATTGGTTGAACGGTTATCAAATGTTGCTGCAAAGACTGCTCACGTTTTTCCCATCAAATAGAAAGATGTGAGCAGCCAACATATCTGGCATAACATATATATATATATATATATATATATATATATATTATATATATGTGTATATATATATATATATAATATATATGTATATATATATATATGTATATCTAGCGGTGAATGGAAGTCCCATCATTCATGCAACTGTATATCCAAACGGCATCAAGACTATCGGGGATTTGGTGGACCATAGAAAGTGCGTACTGACTTACAAAGTATTAAGGGAAAAACATCCCGTAAGGTGTGCAAATTTATTGACATGCGTAGGGTGGGGCCGTGCCATGCCGAGACAGTGAAAGGTTGTGCTGCGAGATGGAGATATACCTTTCATGTCTGACAAAAACTCCGCTAACTTTCCTGCGTCATTTAAAGGTAAGACAAAACAATAAAGCAACTCAAGACAAAAAGTGGAAGCATCTATACGTGTTGGGATAACAGAAGCATATATCTACAGCACAAAATCGCTGGGCGGCAAAAAAACATCAAGTTTGGTGTTAAATGGGCAAACTTGCATGCTTCATCTTTTGAAATGACCTTATCGATGACATTACAAACAATGCAGGATAGGCTAATGCATAGGTATTACCGAAATATGAGGTACCTATTTTTAAGACGCACAGTTACAGATCCGTTTTGCAACCAACGTGGTCAGGTGGATACACTAGGTCATCTATATGTGGCTTGCTATGATGTTGAGATATTTTTGGACGGACTATTTCTTAGAATGCATTAAAAACTCCCAGATGAGGAACAAGGAAAAGTAACGGAACTCATAATATTGTTTGGAATGTTACGCCAAAACACAAGCGTGAACATGCTTGCGCTGTCAGCCAAACAGTTTATTGGAATTCAAAGATCGAGACGATGAGATTACATTAGATCTAGTTGATACCTATAAAGGCAAGAAGCTGCAAAGCGAGAAGCAAAATGCCTTTCATAATGGTGAAAATGGAGACCGACACGAACTGAAACGCGTTAACTTGGAGAGCAGTATGCGGTGTCGGCCGCTTCATGTACCGACATTGCTGATCGTTGCATGCGTGTCAGTGTACGGGTATGGGCATGTGCGTCGAGCGGACGTACAATGCGCCTCAAAAAGTATCGTATGCATGGCGTGACGCCTTGAATACCGGTAAACAATCAGTTTTCAGTTCAGCAATGCCTGTGCGTGTATGCCACATTTGTATATCCTAAATCCTACCTCCTACCTCCTCCTACTTACACCTACCTAAAAACGATAGCAGCAGCCTGCAGCGGCATCATGCCGGCGTTATGCATTTCAAACGTGCATCACAAACAAGCAACTGCGACGACGACATGATCGTGCAGTAACTGTAACCGCAGTTTCATGGTTGTGATGGATAGTTTAGTCATAGTTCACCACATTGTATCAGGAACTCATCATTTTATTGCGCATATAAGTTTCAAACAGTAAATTTTACAGAGCTTCACCTCATACAAACGAAACCGGCCTATAACCTGGCGCGCGACTGCTGCCTGTAACACTCATCCGCAGTGGCACGTGATATCCAGCGCTCTTGGTAACACACCAAGGAGAGTTCGCGGGCTGTTGATCCGATTGCGGATGGAATTCATCGGTGTTTTTGTGTTTCTGTTGTTTGTCCTGCGTTTAGGTGGGTCACCAGCGTTGGATAGTGCCTGCGTGACGTGGCATCTGCGAATATGGTGTTGTGTAGTCGCTGGGGTGATAAGAGTAGCACGTCAGGCGGTTGTACCATCGTTAGCTGTCACGTTGTAGCTGAATCACCCAAGCCATGTGATTCCCTGTTTACAGTACTTAATTGTAATAACATTAGGCGTATGCTATTTCGTACTGCACGAAATATCTGTGCGTTGCAGCTGTAAAATGTCCATTGCACTCATTTTCGCGGCATTACGACGCCCTTACGCACCTGTGGGACAATCAGTTTTCCGATTGTGTGTGTCTCTTTCATGTTGCTTCATGTGACCAACATTCATCCCCTCGGCCAAACCCCGTTGTTGACCATCCGAGTCGCAAATTGGCACGGATGGTCCCCCGTGAATCCCGCGCGCACGTCCACCTTGCGGCCCCGGTCGGCGGATGGACGTCTAAACAGGTCGATGGACGCAGCGGACGTTGTAATGCGGGCGTAGGAGATGAACGAGCGAACGAGCGTAGCTGGACAGGTGGTCCGAAATCCGAGTCCACCCGATCTGCTTGCTTGTTCACTTTTTTCTCTTCAGCTTGATCAAGTTCAA